CGTCAGAAAACTTACCATTTGTTGCGTCCAATCATATGCCGGCGCCGTTCCTCAGGCACAAATGGGCAGCGTCGTCTGGCGTCGCTACCATGCCTGCGTTGTCCATTCTTCTTTTGCGCCTGCCTATTGGCTGGCATCGCGTCGCGCTGCGCTGCTGTGCCGGTGTAGCAGCGCTGCTTTGCCGGTGTGTGGCAGCGCTGCTTTGCCGACATAGCTGCGCTGCTGCGGCAACTCGACGCCATGCCTGGGTTGGCAGCGATGGCGCCGGCTGTCCCTCGACGGTCCCACGATGGTCGGGGGTTCGGCGGCTGTGGCTAGTGGCGGCCCTACACCAGCGCCTGCAGCCGCCCACCGACGATGTCCTCGTAGATCCACTGATGATCCCGACGTTGGCCAGCACCCAGGGTCCTCCATCTGTGTCTGGGGTCTCTGCCCTGGGTGGGCATCCTTCCATGTTGGTCCAGTGGCTGCGGCTATGTGGCGGCCCAAACCAGAGCCAGCAACCATCAGCATCTAAAATGAAAACAAAAACAAATTAGAAAACGAAGCTAAAATTTCGTCAGAAAACTTACCATTTGTTGCGTCCAATCATATGCCGGCGCCGTTCCTCAGGCACAAATGGGCAGCGTCGTCGGCGTCGCTACCATGCCTGCGTTGTCCATTCTTTTTGCGCCTGCCTGTTGGCTGGCATCGCGTCGCGCTGCGCTGCTGTGCCGGTGTAGCAGCGCTGCTTTGCCGGTGTAAAAGCAGCGCTGCTTTGCTGACATAGCTGCGCTGCTGCGGCAACCGACCCATGCCTGGTTGGCAGCGATGGCGCCGACTGTCCCTCGACGGTCCCGATGGTCGGGGTTCGGCGGCTGTGCTAGTGGCGGCCCTGCACCCAGCGCCTGCAGCCGCCCACCGACGATGTCCCCGTAGATCCACCGATGATCCCACGTTGGCCAGCACCCAGGGTCCTCCATCTGTGTCTGGGGTCTCTGCCCTGGGTGGGCATCCTTCCATGTTGGTCCAGTGGCTGCGGCTATGTGGCGGCCCAAAACCAGAGCCAGCAACCATCAGCATCCAAAATGAAAACAAAAACAAATTAGAAAACGAAGCTAAAATTTCGTCAGAAAACTTACCATTTGTTGCGTCCAATCATATGCCGGCGCCGTTCCCTCAGGCACAAATGGGCAGCGTCGTCGGCGTCGCTACCATGCCTGCGTTGTCCATTCTTCTTTTGCGCCTGCCCATTGGTGGCATCGCGTCAGCGCTGCGCTGCTGTGCCGGTGTAGCAGCGCTGCTCGCGGTGTGGCAGCGCTGCTTTGCCGACATAGCTGCGCTGCTGCGGCAACCGACGCCATGCCTGGGTTGGCAGCGATGGCGCCGGCTGTCCCTCGACGGTCCCACGATGGTCGGGGTTCGGCGGCTGTGGCTAGTGGCGGCCCTGCACCAGCGCCTGCAGCCGCCCACCGACGATGTCCCTCGAGATCCACCGATGATCCCACGTTGGCCAGCACCCAGGGTCCTCCATCTGTGTCTGGGGTCTCTGCCCTGGGTGGGCATCCTTCCATGTTGGTCCAGTGGCTGCGGCTATGTGGCGGCCCAAAACCAGAGCCAGCAACCATCAGCATCTAAAATGAAAACAAAAACAAATTAGAAAACGAAGCTAAAATTTCGTCAGAAAACCTACCATTTGTTGCGTCCAATCATATGCCGGCGCCGTTCCCCAGGCACAAATGGGCAGCGTCGTCGGCGTCGCTACCATGCCTGCGTTGTCCATTCTTCTTTGCGCCTGCCTATTGGCTGGCATCGCGTCGCGCTGCGCTGGTGTGCCGGTGTAGCAGCGCTGCTTTGCCGGTGTGTGGCAGCGCTGCTTTGCCGACATAGCTGCGCTGCTGCGGCAACCGGACGCATGCCTGGGTTGGCAGCGATGGCGCCGGCTGTCCCTCGACGGTCCCACGATGGTCGGGGTTCGGGCGGCTGTGGCTAGTGGCGGCCCTGCACCAGCGCCTGCAGCCGCCCACCGACGATGTCCTCGTAGATCCACCGATGATCCCACGTTGGCCAGCACCCAGGGTCCTCCATCTGTGTCTGGGGTCTCTGCCCTGGGTGGGCATCCTTCCATGTTGGTCCAGTGGCTGCGGCTATGTGGCGGCCCAAAACCAGAGCCAGCAACCATCAGCATCTAAAATGAAAACAAAAACAAATTAGAAAACGAAGCTAAAATTTCGTCAGAAAACTTACCATTTGTTGCGTCCAATCACATGCCGGCGCCGCCCTCAGGCACAAATGGGCAGCGTCGTCGGCGTCGCTACCATGCCTGCGTTGTCCATTCTTCTTTTGCGCCTGCCTATTGGCTGGCATCGCGTCGCGCTGCGCTGCTGTGCCGGTGTAGCAGCGCTGCTTTGCCGGTGTGTGGCAGCGCTGCTTTGCCGACATAGCTGCGCTGCTGCGGCAAACTGACGCCATGCCTGGGTTGGCAGCGATGGCGCCGGCTGTCCCTCGACGGTCCCACGATGGTCGGGGTTCGGCGGCTGTGGCTAGTGGCGGCCCTGCACCAGCGCCTGCAGCCGCCCACCGACGATGTCCCTCGTAGATCCACCGATGATCCCACGTTGGCCAGCACCCAGGGTCCTCCATCTGTGTCTGGGGGTCTCTGCCCTGGGTGGGCATCCTTCCATGTTGGTCCAGTGGCTGCGGCTATGTGGCGGCCCAAAACCAGAGCCAGCAACCATCAGCATCTAAAATGAAAACAAAAACAAATTAGAAAACGAAGCTAAAATTTCGTCAGAAAACTTACCATTTGTTGCGTCCAATCATATGCCGGCGCCGTTCCCCAGGCACAAATGGGCAGCGTCGTCGGCGCGTCGCTACCATGCCTGCGTTGTCCATTCTTCTTTGCGCCTGCCTATTGGCTGGTATCGCGTCGCTGCGCTGCTGTGCCGGTGTAGCAGCGCTGCTTTGCCGGTGTGGGCAGCGCTGCTTTGCCGACATAGCTGCGCTGCTGCGGCAACCGACGCCATGCCTGGGTTGGCAGCGATGGCGCCGGCTGTCCCTCGACGGTCCCACGATGGTCGGGGTTCGGCGGCTGTGGCTAGTGGCGGCCCTGCACCAGCGCCTGCAGCCGCCCACCGACGATGTCCCCTCGTAGATCCACCGATGATCCCACGTTGGCCAGCACCCAGGGTCCTCCATCTGTGTCTGGGGTCTCTGCCCTGGGTGGGCATCCTTCCATGTTGGTCCAGTGGCTGCGGCTATGTGGCGGCCCAAAACCAGAGCCAGCAACCATCAGCATCTAAAATGAAAACAAAACAAATTAGAAAACGAAGCTAAAATTTCGTCAGAAAACTTACCATTTGTTGCGTCCAATCATATGCCGGCGCCGTTCCCTCAGGCACAAATGGGCAGCGTCGTCGGCGTCACTACCATGCCTGCGTTGTCCATTCTTCTTTTGCGCCTGCCTATTGGCTGGCATCGCGTCGCGCTGCGCTGTTGTGCCGGTGTAGCAGCGCTGCTTTGCCGGTGTGTGGCAGCGCTGCTTTGCCGACATAGCTGCGCTGCTGCGGCAAACCGACGCCATGCCTGGGTTGGCAGCGATGGCGCCGGCTGTCCCTCGACGGTCCCACGATGGTCGGGGTTCGGCGGCTGTGGCTAGTGGCGGCCCTGCACCAGCGCCTGCAGCCGCCCACCGACGATGTCCCTCGTAGATCCACCGATGATCCCACGTTGGCCAGCACCCAGGGTCCTCCATCTGTGTCTGGGGTCTCTGCCCTGGGTGGGCATCCTTCCATGTTGGTCCAGTGGCTGCGGCTATGTGGCGGCCCAAACCAGAGCCAGCAACCATCAGCATCTAAAATGAAAACAAAAACAAATTAGAAAACGAAGCTAAAATTTCGTCAGAAAACTTACCATTTGTTGCGTCCAATCATATGCCGGCGCCGTTCCCTCAGGCACAAATGGGCAGCGTCGTCGGCGTCGCTACCATGCCTGCGTTGTCCATTCTTCTTTTGCGCCTGCCTATTGGCTGGCATCGCGTCGCGCTGCGCTGCTGTGCCGGTGTAGCAGCGCTGCTTTGCCGGTGTGTGGCAGCGCTGCTTTGCCGACATAGCTGCGCTGCTGCGGCAACCGACGCCATGCCTGGGTTGGCAGCGATGGCGCCGGCTGTCCCTCGACGGTCCCACGATGGTCGGGGTTCGGCGGCTGTGGCTAGTGGCGGCCCTGCACCAGCGCCTGCAGCCGCCCACCGACGATGTCCCTCGTAGATCCACCGATGATCCCACGTTGGCCAGCACCCAGGGTCCTCCATCTGTGTCTGGGGTCTCTGCCCTGGGTGGGCATCCTTCCATGTTGGTCCAGTGGCTGCGGCTATGTGGCGGCCCAAAACCAGAGCCAGCAACCATCAGCATCTAAAATGAAAACAAAAACAAATTAGAAAACGAAGCTAAAATTTCGTCAGAAAACTTACCATTTGTTGCGTCCAATCATATGCCGGCGCCGTTCCCTCAGGGCACAAATGGGCAGCGTCGTCGGCGTCGCTACCATGCCTGCGTTGTCCATTCTTCTTTTGTGCCTGCCCTATTGGCTGGCATCGCGTCGCGCTGCGCTGCTGTGCCGGTGTAGCAGCGCTGCTTCGCCGGTGTGTGGCAGCGCTGCTTTGCCGACATAGCTGCGCTGCTGCGGCAACCGACGCCATGCCTGGGTTGGCAGCGATGGCGCTGGCTGTCCCTCGACGGTCCCACGATGGTCGGGGTTCGGCGGCTGTGGCTAGTGGCGGCCCTGCACCAGCGCCTGCAGCCGCCCACCGACGATGTCCCTCGTAGATCCACCGATGATCCCACGTTGGCCAGCACCCAGGGTCCTCCATCTGTGTCTGGGGTCTCTGCCCTGGGTGGGCATCCTTCCATGTTGGTCCAGTGGCTGCGGCTATGTGGCGGCCCAAACCAGAGCCAGCAACCATCAGCATCTAAAATGAAAACAAAAACAAATTAGAAAACGAAGCTAAAATTTCGTCAGAAAACTTACCATTTGTTGCGTCCAATCATATGCCGGCGCTGTTCCCTCAGGCACAAATGGGCAGCGTCGTCGGCGTCGCTACCATGCCTGCGTTGTCCATTCTTCTTTTGCGCCTGCCCTATTGGCTGGCATCGCGTCGCGCTGCGCTGCTGTGCCGGTGTAGCAGCGCTGCTTTGCCGGTGTGTGGCAGCGCTGCTTTGCCGACATAGCTGCGCTGCTGCGGCAACCGACGCCATGCCTGGGTTGGCAGCGATGGCGCCGGCTGTCCTCGACGGTCCCACGATGGTCGGGGTTCGGCGGCTGTGGCTAGTGGCGGCCCTGCACCAGCGCCTGCAGCCGCCCACCGACGATGTCCCTCGTAGATCCACCGATGATCCCACGTTGGCCAGCACCCAGGGTCCTCCATCTGTGTCTGGGGTCTCTGCCCTGGGTGGGCATCCTTCCATGTTGGTCCAGTGGCTGCGGCTATGTGGCGGCCCAAAACCAGAGCCAGCAACCATCAGCATCTAAAATGAAAACAAAAACAAATTAGAAAACGAAGCTAAAATTTCGTCAGAAAACTTACCATTTGTTGCGTCCAATCATATGCCGGCGCCGTTCCCTCAGGCACAAATGGGCAGCGTCGTCGGCGTCGCTACCATGCCTGCGTTGTCCATTCTTCTTTTGCGCCTGCCTATTGGCTGGCATCGCGTCGCGCTGCGCTGCTGTGCCGGTGTAGCAGCGCTGCTTTGCCGGTGTGTGGCAGCGCTGCTTTGCCGACATAGCTGCGCTGCTGCGGCAACCGACGCCATGCCTGGGTTGGCAGCGATGGCGCCGGCTGTCCCTCGACGGTCCCACGATGGTCGGGGTTCGGCGGCTGTGGCTAGTGGCGGCCCTGCACCAGCGCCTGCAGCCGCCCACCGACGATGTCCCTCGTAGATCCACCGATGATCCCACGTTGGCCAGCACCCAGGGTCCTCCATCTGTGTCTGGGGTCTCTGCCCTGGGTGGGCATCCTTCCATGTTGGTCCAGTGGCTGCGGCTATGTGGCGGCCCAAACCAGAGCCAGCAACCATCAGCATCTAAAATGAAAACAAAAACAAATTAGAAAACGAAGCTAAAATTTCGTCAGAAAACTTACCATTTGTTGCGTCCAATCATATGCCGGCGCCGTTCCCTCAGGCACAAATGGGCAGCGTCGTCGGCGTCGCTACCATGCCTGCGTTGTCCATTCTTCTTTGCGCCTGCCTATTGGCTGGCATCGCGTCGCGCTGCGCTGCTGTGCCGGTGTAGCAGCGCTGCTTTGCCGGTGTGCGGCAGCGCTGCTTTGCCGACATAGCTGCGCTGCTGCGGCAACCGACGCCATGCCTGGGTTGGCAGCGATGGCGCCGGCTGTCCCTCGACGGTCCCACGATGGTCGGGGTTCGGCGGCTGTGGCTAGTGGCGGCCCTGCACCAGCGCCTGCAGCCGCCCACCGACGATGTCCCTCGTAGATCCACCGATGATCCCACGTTGGCCAGCACCCAGGGTCCTCCATCTGTGTCTGGGGTCTCTGCCCTGGGTGGGCATCCTTCCATGTTGGTCCAGTGGCTGCGGCTATGTGGCGGCCCAAAACCAGAGCCAGCAACCATCAGCATCTAAAATGAAAACAAAAACAAATTAGAAAACGAAGCTAAAATTTCGTCAGAAAACTTACCATTTGTTGCGTCCAATCATATGCCGGCGCCGTTCCCTCAGGCACAAATGGGCAGCGTCGTCGGCGTCGCTACCATGCCTGCGTTGTCCATTCTTCTTTTGCGCCTGCCTATTGGCTGGCATCGCGTCGCGCTGCGCTGCTGTGCCGGTGTAGCAGCGCTGCTTTGCCGGTGTGTGGCAGCGCTGCTTTGCCGACATAGCTGCGCTGCTGCGGCAACCGACGCCATGCCTGGGTTGGCAGCGATGGCGCCGGCTGTCCCTCGACGGTCCCACGATGGTCGGGGTTCGGCGGCTGTGGCTAGTGGCGGCCCTGCACCAGCGCCTGCAGCCGCCCACCGACGATGTCCCTCGTAGATCCACCGATGATCCCACGTTGGCCAGCACCCAGGGTCCTCCATCTGTGTCTGGGGTCTCTGCCCTGGGTGGGCATCCTTCCATGTTGGTCCAGTGGCTGCGGCTATGTGGCGGCCCAAAACCAGAGCCAGCAACCATCAGCATCTAAAATGAAAACAAAAACAAATTAGAAAACGAAGCTAAAATTTCGTCAGAAAACTTACCATTTGTTGCGTCCAATCATATGCCGGCGCCGTTCCCTCAGGCACAAATGGGCAGCGTCGTCGGCGTCGCTACCATGCCTGCGTTGTCCATTCTTCTTTGCGCCTGCCTATTGGCTGGCATCGCGTCGCGCTGCGCTGCTGTGCCGGTGTAGCAGCGCTGCTTTGCCGGTGTGTGGCAGCGCTGCTTTGCCGACATAGCTGCGCTGCTGCGGCAACCGACGCCATGCCTGGGTTGGCAGCGATGGCGCCGGCTGTCCCTCGACGGTCCCACGATGGTCGGGGTTCGGCGGCTGTGGCTAGTGGCGGCCCTGCACCAGCGCCTGCAGCCGCCCACCGACGATGTCCCTCGTAGATCCACCGATGATCCCACGTTGGCCAGCACCCAGGGTCCTCCATCTGTGTCTGGGGTCTCTGCCCTGGGTGGGCATCCTTCCATGTTGGTCCAGTGGCTGCGGCTATGTGGCGGCCCAAAACCAGAGCCAGCAACCATCAGCATCTAAAATGAAAACAAAAACAAATTAGAAAACGAAGCTAAAATTTCGTCAGAAAACTTACCATTTGTTGCGTCCAATCATATGCCGGCGCCGTTCCCTCAGGCACAAATGGGCAGCGTCGTCGGCGTCGCTACCATGCCTGCGTTGTCCATTCTTCTTTGCGCCTGCCTATTGGCTGGCATCGCGTCGCGCTGCGCTGCTGTGCCGGTGTAGCAGCGCTGCTTTGCCGGTGTGTGGCAGCGCTGCTTTGCCGACATAGCTGCGCTGCTGCGGCAACCGACGCCATGCCTGGGTTGGCAGCGATGGCGCCGGCTGTCCCTCGACGGTCCCACGATGGTCGGGGTTCGGCGGCTGTGGCTAGTGGCGGCCCTGCACCAGCGCCTGCAGCCGCCCACCGACGATGTCCCTCGTAGATCCACCGATGATCCCACGTTGGCCAGCACCCAGGGTCCTCCATCTGTGTCTGGGGTCTCTGCCCTGGGTGGGCATCCTTCCATGTTGGTCCAGTGGCTGCGGCTATGTGGCGGCCCAAAACCAGAGCCAGCAACCATCAGCATCTAAAATGAAAACAAAAACAAATTAGAAAACGAAGCTAAAATTTCGTCAGAAAACTTACCATTTGTTGCGTCCAATCATATGCCGGCGCCGTTCCCTCAGGCACAAATGGGCAGCGTCGTCGGCGTCGCTACCATGCCTGCGTTGTCCATTCTTCTTTTGCGCCTGCCTATTGGCTGGCATCGCGTCGCGCTGCGCTGCTGTGCCGGTGTAGCAGCGCTGCTTTGCCGGTGTGTGGCAGCGCTGCTTTGCCGACATAGCTGCGCTGCTGCGGCAACCGACGCCATGCCTGGGTTGGCAGCGATGGCGCCGGCTGTCCCTCGACGGTCCCACGATGGTCGGGGTTCGGCGGCTGTGGCTAGTGGCGGCCCTGCACCAGCGCCTGCAGCCGCCCACCGACGATGTCCCTCGTAGATCCACCGATGATCCCACGTTGGCCAGCACCCAGGGTCCTCCATCTGTGTCTGGGGTCTCTGCCCTGGGTGGGCATCCTTCCATGTTGGTCCAGTGGCTGCGGCTATGTGGCGGCCCAAAACCAGAGCCAGCAACCATCAGCATCTAAAATGAAAACAAAAACAAATTAGAAAACGAAGCTAAAATTTCGTCAGAAAACTTACCATTTGTTGCGTCCAATCATATGCCGGCGCCGTTCCCTCAGGCACAAATGGGCAGCGTCGTCGGCGTCGCTACCATGCCTGCGTTGTCCATTCTTCTTTTGCGCCTGCCTATTGGCTGGCATCGCGTCGCGCTGCGCTGCTGTGCCGGTGTAGCAGCGCTGCTTTGCCGGTGTGTGGCAGCGCTGCTTTGCCGACATAGCTGCGCTGCTGCGGCAACCGACGCCATGCCTGGGTTGGCAGCGATGGCGCCGGCTGTCCCTCGACGGTCCCACGATGGTCGGGGTTCGGCGGCTGTGGCTAGTGGCGGCCCTGCACCAGCGCCTGCAGCCGCCCACCGACGATGTCCCTCGTAGATCCACCGATGATCCCACGTTGGCCAGCACCCAGGGTCCTCCATCTGTGTCTGGGGTCTCTGCCCTGGGTGGGCATCCTTCCATGTTGGTCCAGTGGCTGCGGCTATGTGGCGGCCCAAAACCAGAGCCAGCAACCATCAGCATCTAAAATGAAAACAAAAACAAATTAGAAAACGAAGCTAAAATTTCGTCAGAAAACTTACCATTTGTTGCGTCCAATCATATGCCGGCGCCGTTCCCTCAGGCACAAATGGGCAGCGTCGTCGGCGTCGCTACCATGCCTGCGTTGTCCATTCTTCTTTTGCGCCTGCCTATTGGCTGGCATCGCGTCGCGCTGCGCTGCTGTGCCGGTGTAGCAGCGCTGCTTTGCCGGTGTGTGGCAGCGCTGCTTTGCCGACATAGCTGCGCTGCTGCGGCAACCGACGCCATGCCTGGGTTGGCAGCGATGGCGCCGGCTGTCCCTCGACGGTCCCACGATGGTCGGGGTTCGGCGGCTGTGGCTAGTGGCGGCCCTGCACCAGCGCCTGCAGCCGCCCACCGACGATGTCCCTCGTAGATCCACCGATGATCCCACGTTGGCCAGCACCCAGGGTCCTCCATCTGTGTCTGGGGTCTCTGCCCTGGGTGGGCATCCTTCCATGTTGGTCCAGTGGCTGCGGCTATGTGGCGGCCCAAAACCAGAGCCAGCAACCATCAGCATCTAAAATGAAAACAAAAACAAATTAGAAAACGAAGCTAAAATTTCGTCAGAAAACTTACCATTTGTTGCGTCCAATCATATGCCGGCGCCGTTCCCTCAGGCACAAATGGGCAGCGTCGTCGGCGTCGCTACCATGCCTGCGTTGTCCATTCTTCTTTTGCGCCTGCCTATTGGCTGGCATCGCGTCGCGCTGCGCTGCTGTGCCGGTGTAGCAGCGCTGCTTTGCCGGTGTGTGGCAGCGCTGCTTTGCCGACATAGCTGCGCTGCTGCGGCAACCGACGCCATGCCTGGGTTGGCAGCGATGGCGCCGGCTGTCCCTCGACGGTCCCACGATGGTCGGGGTTCGGCGGCTGTGGCTAGTGGCGGCCCTGCACCAGCGCCTGCAGCCGCCCACCGACGATGTCCCTCGTAGATCCACCGATGATCCCACGTTGGCCAGCACCCAGGGTCCTCCATCTGTGTCTGGGGTCTCTGCCCTGGGTGGGCATCCTTCCATGTTGGTCCAGTGGCTGCGGCTATGTGGCGGCCCAAAACCAGAGCCAGCAACCATCAGCATCTAAAATGAAAACAAAAACAAATTAGAAAACGAAGCTAAAATTTCGTCAGAAAACTTACCATTTGTTGCGTCCAATCATATGCCGGCGCCGTTCCCTCAGGCACAAATGGGCAGCGTCGTCGGCGTCGCTACCATGCCTGCGTTGTCCATTCTTCTTTTGCGCCTGCCTATTGGCTGGCATCGCGTCGCGCTGCGCTGCTGTGCCGGTGTAGCAGCGCTGCTTTGCCGGTGTGTGGCAGCGCTGCTTTGCCGACATAGCTGCGCTGCTGCGGCAACCGACGCCATGCCTGGGTTGGCAGCGATGGCGCCGGCTGTCCCTCGACGGTCCCACGATGGTCGGGGTTCGGCGGCTGTGGCTAGTGGCGGCCCTGCACCAGCGCCTGCAGCCGCCCACCGACGATGTCCCTCGTAGATCCACCGATGATCCCACGTTGGCCAGCACCCAGGGTCCTCCATCTGTGTCTGGGGTCTCTGCCCTGGGTGGGCATCCTTCCATGTTGGTCCAGTGGCTGCGGCTATGTGGCGGCCCAAAACCAGAGCCAGCAACCATCAGCATCTAAAATGAAAACAAAAACAAATTAGAAAACGAAGCTAAAATTTCGTCAGAAAACTTACCATTTGTTGCGTCCAATCATATGCCGGCGCCGTTCCCTCAGGCACAAATGGGCAGCGTCGTCGGCGTCGCTACCATGCCTGCGTTGTCCATTCTTCTTTTGCGCCTGCCTATTGGCTGGCATCGCGTCGCGCTGCGCTGCTGTGCCGGTGTAGCAGCGCTGCTTTGCCGGTGTGTGGCAGCGCTGCTTTGCCGACATAGCTGCGCTGCTGCGGCAACCGACGCCATGCCTGGGTTGGCAGCGATGGCGCCGGCTGTCCCTCGACGGTCCCACGATGGTCGGGGTTCGGCGGCTGTGGCTAGTGGCGGCCCTGCACCAGCGCCTGCAGCCGCCCACCGACGATGTCCCTCGTAGATCCACCGATGATCCCACGTTGGCCAGCACCCAGGGTCCTCCATCTGTGTCTGGGGTCTCTGCCCTGGGTGGGCATCCTTCCATGTTGGTCCAGTGGCTGCGGCTATGTGGCGGCCCAAAACCAGAGCCAGCAACCATCAGCATCTAAAATGAAAACAAAAACAAATTAGAAAACGAAGCTAAAATTTCGTCAGAAAACTTACCATTT